GAATCAACCAATGAATGCATGAACAAGTGGGACAATAAATCGATGTTTCTCTCTCTCTCCCTTTCTCCCTTCCTCTTTCTCTCTAAAAAAAAAAAAGTTAAAATTTTTTAAAAGTGTAATTTGCAGCCCAGAGGATTTAGATTACTTACAGTTAGTATGTAGTAGAGCCGTGTTTTAATCTCAGTCACTTGGCTCCATTGCTCGTTTTAAAAAGAATTACACTCGAAACTACTTTGGGGCCATTTAGGAAGTTTAGAAGCATTGGACTAAGCTGAAAATATCAGTAGTGTAAGATACTATTTAAAGCACAGACTGGTGAGAAACACTCTATTTTATCCAGTCTTCATAACGACTTTTAAAATTTGTTTTACCGTTTAGTTTTCATGTGTGGTAAAATATATGTAACATAAAATTTACCATCCTAGCTATTTTTAAATAATCAGTTCAGAGACATTAACTACATTTACATTGTGCAACCATCACCTCCATCCATCTCCAGAACTTTTTCATCTTCCCAAACTGACACTCGGTACCTATTAAACACCAGCTTCCCACTCCTGCTCTCCCAGGCCCTGGCAACCACCAGTCGATGGCCCGTGGTACTAGGCCCAGGGCTATTGACTGGGGCTGCAAAGGAAAATAAGACCTGCTCTTCCCCAGGACTGGCTAGCATCAAAGCCTGTGTTCCTGTCCTCTTGTGACCTTGCTGCTATGCCCGTCTTCATCTAGTGAGAGAAGCCCTGTTACAGGAAGAGAGTGCTGTTGTTGAAGTGCACAGAGGCATGCCTATGGCTGGGGAGTGGGGGAAGGCAGTCAGTGAATGGAACGTGGTTGAGATGAAAGGTGGGGATGAAGGGATTTCAACAGAGATATCTGTTGGCAAGGTTGAAGACTCAGAGAACTGGGAATATACTGTTTGCCTTCGCTTTATTTTCATAGATTGTTCTGAGGAGTACGTAAGATTGTATATGGGGATGTGCTTTGAAATGCCAAGGACGCTCTGCATACACACACCTTAGGACTCCCACATCACTACTGAAGAGGATGTGTTTGAAGGACGTAACTCATGAGAGCAGTTTCGATGGGGGACCCAGGGGACAAGATGGTTAGTGGGTACAGACCCATCCTCCAGGGCACTGGGCTACAAGGGGAAGGGAGACATAGTATAGTAGTTGGGACTTAGGGTCAAGAAAAGGTCTCATAGGTATGGCTTTATTAGGTTTATAAAATTAAAATAGTAATATGGCCCTGGCTGGTGTAGCTCAGAGGACCGAGTGCAGGCCTGCAAACCAAAGGGTCACTGGTTCAATTCCCAGTCAGGGGACATGCCTAGGTTGTCGGCCTGGTCCCCAGTTGGGGCACATGAGACGCAACCACACATTGACGTTTCTCTACCTCTCTTTCTCCTTCCATTCCCCTCTCTCTAAAAATAAACAAATAAAACCTTTAAAAAATTGACTTAAAAAATTAAAACAGTAATATATAAAAATAGACATAGAAATGAATTATTTGTGCAACTAATAAAGCTTAAGTTTCATACCTCTCACATGGGTTCCTTCTAAGGCTGTGTATCTACGTTTGTAATTTTTTTTTACTTTGCAACTTTAATTTTATATAATTTTTTCCCAAGGAAACCACCCCCCTACATCGTTTAAGCTTTAGGTTCCTCCAAATCTGGGCCCACTCCTACATAGAGGGCAAAAAATCTAGGAAATCCCACCATGCAGATATAATCACAGTTAATTCTCCAGATCTCTTCCTGGGTGCGTGTTAGTACATTACTGTCGGGGACCGCCCTTCCTGGTATCAGAAGCTGTAACCCCCACCAAGGCTAAGGCAGTGACCTTGGACCATAAGCCACCAAGGAGACAAAAGCTTATCTCCCTGGCAGGAGCACTGCTTCTGCTGCTTCACTCATAACTGAACCCCAATGCTTGGTCAGTTAGCCAATGACGGATAAGATTCCCCAAGGGGGGAATGATCTAAGACAGGCACGATCACGTGGGAGGTGCCCAAGGAAGGACTTTGGGGGCTACAGCAAAAGGGGGTGATGGACCCTTGCCCCTCAGCTTTGACAAAGCCTGAGTCCTCATCATCTGGGAGAAAATCTCCTTATCTCTTGGTTGCTTTAGTTCCCTTGCTCCACCTAAGCCTGAAACAATGACAGGGTGGTGCAGCTCTGTGCTGAAAAGGGCGGGTTCCTGGGGTGATCAGGCCTAGGAAAGAATATGTAAAATCCTGTGAAACCTGCTTTGTTTAGAATGCTCTCAATTAAATGATAAGGGCCCAAGCAGGAAGTAAGTTTGTTCCTCAAAGTTTTACAGCTCTTTGATCCTGACTCAAAATAGGCCCTCAGAGTTCTTTGTTATCTATTGTTTGATCCTTACTTCCTGGCAATGATTAATGAGCTTTACCTGAATTCCTATGCAAAGGAAACCAATAAAAAGCCTCTCTAGAGAGGGAACGGGGCGCTCTCTGCACCAGAGAGAGTGGCCATTTTGTTCTTACTTCCCCACAGGACTTGGTTGTCTCTGTGTATGTTTTTCTCCCGTGTTTTGATGAACCATCCACATCCACAGCGTTCCATGCTCACTGCAGGCTGGTGGGCACGCATCACATTACTTCTTACAAAAAGATCATTACTATGTCCTAGTTTGTAAAATGATTTCTTTAATGTATTTGAACCCTGCCTTCACTCCTTGCTTTGTTTTGACCATGAAACATTTGATTGAGTGATTTAAATCATTTAACCAGGGCAGTGGGGGGGGGGGGAGTAACAGACCCAAAGCAAAAGGACAGACAGATGGCACCACGGCACAGGGAGAGGAGAGTGTGCAGACAAAGCCTCTCTGTTACGGATGTGCCACCCAGTATCCTAGCCTCTGCTTGGTATCACTGACACAGTTGTAATGATACAATTATTTGTGTTATTTTCATTGACCTCTGTTCCCTCCATTACATTGTAAACATTTTGGGATAGGGATGGTGGCCTGAAACATAGTAGGTTTTCAATAGATGTTTGTTGAATAATTGTCTGAATGATTGAATGTTAAGGATTGAGTTCAAGGGAATCCTGGATGTAGAAATTAGTAGACACTCAGCTAAGGGTTTTGGGTGGCAGAGAGTTGTTGGGAAGACATGTTTTAGCAAGGGAGTTGATGTTGCATCTGAAGAACCAGTAAGGAATGGCCCTGTTAACTCCAGTGTGCTACAGAACGGGCAGTGGTGGTGACTTAGAAAGGACACTGTTAATGTAGAAATAGAAGATGTAAGTTTGAATCTTATCAAAGTTATGCTGTTTTGGGGAGGTGGGTGGGTGGGAACTCAGTCTTTTATCTGAAATGGGGTAACAACTTCCTGGGGTTCTGGGAATCTAATAAGTCAATAGATGAGACAGTCCTCAGCCTCATACACAGCAGATGCTCAACAAATGACTTTTGATTCTGAATCAGAAACCTGGGAGTAACCCTGGCTGGTGTGGCTCAGTGGATTGAGTGCTGGCCTATGACCCAAAGGGCCGCTGGTTCGATCCCCAGACAGGGCACATGCCTGGGTTGCGGGGCCAGGTCCCTGATGCGCGTGGGTCCCCGGTCAGCAGTGACCACGGAACACTGCGGATGGCTCGACGATAAACACGTGAGAAAAAACATGCACAGAGACAGACCAGTTTCTGTGGGGAAGTAGGGACGAAATGGCCACCCCCCTAGTGGGGAGCGCCCCGATTTACCGTCCATACCTGCTTTTTTGGGCTCATTTTGCATAATAATTCAGGTAAAGTACAGTACTCATTAGGGGGAAGTAAGGAACTATAGAAAACAAGGAACCCTGCCAGTCTATTGAGTCGGGGTCAAAGAGCTGTAAGACTTTGAGGAACAAACTTCCTCCTAAGACCCTTCTCATTCAACTGAGAGCATTATAAACAAAGAAGGTTTCTCAGTAATTTACATATTCTTTCTTAGGCCTGATCACCCGGGGAATCCGCCCTTTTCAGCACAGAGCTGCACCACCCTGTCATTGTTTCAGGCTTAGGTGGAGCGAGGGAACTAAAGCAACCAAGAGATAAGGAGATTTTCTCCCAGACGATGAGAACTCAGGCTATGTCAAAGCCAAGGAGCGAGGGTCCATCACCCCCTTTTGCTGCAGCCCCCCAAGTCCTTCTTTTGGGGGGCCTCCCAAAGTGATCGTGCCTGTCTTAGGTCGTTCCCCTCGTGGGGAATCTTACCCGTCTTTGGCTAACCGACCAAGCTTTTTGGGGTTCAGTTATGAATGAAGCAGCAGAAGCAGTGCTCCTGCCAGGAAGATAAGCTTTTGTCTCCTTGCTGGCTTACAGTTCCCAGGGCGTTCCCTTAGCCTTAACCTAGGCGGGGGTTTCAGCTTCTGATACCAGTCAGGGCAGTTCCCAACAGGTCCCTAGTAGGGGGTGGGCAAGAGGCAACCACACATTGATGATTCTCTCCCTCTCTTTCTCCTTTCTTTTTCTTCTCTAAAAATGAATAAGTAAAATCTTAAAAAGAAAAGAAAAGAAAAGAAAATTGGGAGTAGAGCAAGATGAAACTAGGAGGGGAAAGGAGATTGCTCAGTTAAGCTAAGACAAATCTGAGTTCAGTGATGTATTGTGCATGGTTTGGGCTCTGAGACACATTACCTTCAGGGCAAAGCTAATGGTTCACTTTGCAAGTCCGTGGCAGAGGGGAAGGATGGGGTGTACAAGCAGTGCAAGGCTCCAGTCCACCCCTTGGGTGGTGGCAGTGGATGAAACCTGAAGTGACCACTGAGAGCCCTCTCCCTCATTTGGGGGGACTGTAGTACTTTGTCACAATTACACATGGTGATGAGGGCATGGATATTATGAATATTGGGACACCAGGTCTTCACTTGCCTTCTATTCACATACAGGAAAGGCTTTGGAAACCAGTGGTCATGCCAGAGAAGCCAGGAAAGGACCAGGAAGGCTGTAGGGTCATGTTTTCCCCTGACTCTCATGGCCCTTTCTGGTGCAGGACAATGGCTGCTACTCATGGTTTGGAGATGAAGGTGGAGAATGTGGGTGGAGACGTGGAAGGAGCGCTGGAGGAAGAGGAGAAGATGAGAGAGGATGGGGAAGGTGAAGTTCCCTTCAAGAGTAAAAAGGTCCACAGGATTGTCTCAAAATGGATGCTTCCTGAAAATGCCCGGAGAACGTACCTGGAGAGAGCCAACTGCCTCCCACCCCCAGTGTTCATCATCTCCATCAGCCTCGCCGAGGTAGGTACTCGGGGTGGCGAGCAGTAGGGCGAGAGCCACTGGGGAATCGCAAACGAGCTGAAGGTTTAGATCAGATCTGGGTCAGAGACTGGACGCCATGAAGCAGTGAGCTGGGTGGTGGCGAGTGCAGCACACACGGGACTCCGCCTCACCCTCTGGAGCTCTCGTCCCAGGTTTTCTTTCCTATGTGCCCAGTCACTGTCAGACAAGGGTTGAACACTATTTTTCTTATTTTTATTTTAAAGATTTTATTTCTTTTAGAGAGAGCAGAAAGGAAGAGAAAGAGAGGGAGAGAAACATCAATGTGTGGTTGCTTTTCACATGGCCCCCACTGGGGACCTGGCCTGCAACCCAGGCATGTGCCCTGACTGGGAATTGAACCAACACCCTTTGGTAAATAAGTCCTCTCCCCAGTAGTGACTACAATTCCAGTGGCTTCACTTCATTTTAGCTGGTGGGGGCTTTAGAAACCAAATAATCATGGGATTGCAAATTCGTTTGGTTTTATGAACCAACTTCAATTGGCTAGTAAGACTTATAAGTTACAAGAGTGGTTTCCCCCAAATTTTAGCAGGGACAAAATGGGATCCTCTAACGATGCATACAATGGGCAGTTTGTATTGTGTTTTCAGACTCCCATCTAGTCAGCCCCCTTGTTTTCCAGAAAAGAGTGCAAGGCCCAGAGCTGTGGAGTGGCTTGTCTCTGGTAAATGACCGGAGTCACTGGGCCAGGACGGGGCTTCTTCTGAACCTCATCAAACTTAGCTTCTTCTCCCTCACCATGAAGACTCATAAAGGAATTGGCAGGGGACTTCAGAGGCATAAGGAAGCCCCTAATGTAATCCTCTTAGTTCCTACCGATGCCTCATTTTCCTTTCTAGGGACTGTATTTGTTAGGGTTCTTTAGAGAAACAAGACCAATAGGATATGCACACATAAACATACATATTATGTCTCTCTCTCAGTCAGTCATCTGTGCATACACACATATGTTGAGAGAGATTAACTTATTTTAAGGAATTGGCTCATGCAATTGTGGAAGTTTGGCAAGTTCACAGACCACAGGGTGGGCTAGCAGCCTGGAGACCTCGGGGAGGAGAGCTGGCGTCGCAGTCCAGAGGCCGCCTGCTGGCAGAGCTCCCTCTTCCCAGAGGAGGCCGGTCTTTGTGGCATGAAGGCCCACAACTGATGGTGTGAGGCCCACTCATGTGATGGAGGGTGGTCTGCTTTCCTCAAAGTCTACTGATTTAAACATTAATCACATCAAGAATACCTTCACAGAAACATCGAGAATGATGTTTGACCCGATACCTGGGTGCTGTGGTCTAGCCAAGCGGACACATACAATGAATGATCACAGGGATGTAGCCTCTTGTGGCTTAAAGGTAAAGCTACTGTGTAAAGATTACATTGCTGGGAGAAGCTTTTGGCAAGGCCGTTTGGTTGGAGGGACATAGGTCTAAATCTCTCAAGGGGTCTCATTGTGAGACAGCCTGTGACTAGAGAGCCATCAGAATTCTTCTTCCTGTTTTTCTGTAGCACCTCACCTCATGTTATCCTCCCATGCGACAGATGGGCTGGCCTGTCCGTGGTCTAGTCAGGGGTGTGTGTATGTGTTGCGGGGAGGGGGGGTGATGGAGAAAGGGATCAGGTCACATGGCACAAAACATGACCACCTGACAGTGAGTTCTAGGGACAAGGTAGTTTTCCACAAGAGGGTCATGGGGCAGGTGCTGAGCTATCTCCCTGTCACAGAAAGATCAACTTTTTTTTTAATGAAAAGTTACTTCCGATAAACTTTTTATTTTGGAATAATTTTAGCTTTGGAGAAAAGTTGCAAAGATAGTACAGACAGTTCCTGTATACCCATCACGCAGCCTCTCAAATTGTTACTATCTTATATTTCCACACTACATTTGTTAAAACTAAGAAGCTCACATTGGCATATAACTATTAAGTAAACTGTAGACTTAGTTTGGATTTTAGTAATTTTTCCATTAATCTCTTTATGTCCCTCCTGTACCCTTGAACCCAGGTGTCACACTGCATTTAGTTGTCATGTCTCCTATCTCTGTGCTCTGGACAGTTTCTCGGTCTTTGTTTTTTGTGACTTTGATAGCTTGTGGTGTATTGGTCAGGTATCCTATACAATATCCCCCAATTGAGGTTTATCTGACATTTTTCTCATGATCACACTGGAGGTATGGGTTTTGGGGAACAACAGTATAGAGGTGACATGTCCTTCTCATCACATCATATCACATCACATCATCAGGGAGCAGGGGACAGCTGCATGACATGACATTCCTGGTGACATCAGCCTTCATCACTTGTTTGAGGTCATGTTTGCTGTTTCTTCCACTATAGACTTAGTTACTGTTTTTCCCTTTCCCTACCCTGTTCCTGGGAAGCCAGCACTCAATTTCACACTAAGTTGGAAGTGAAAGACCAAATGGTGGGTGTAGGAAGATGAAGGCAGTGGGCATCTAAGAGGGAAAAGGGGTTCAGAGAGAGTCTTCTCTCCAGTTTGGTCTAGGGCTGCTCCTAGCCACTGGAGGAAGTAGGATATGACCAGAGTTAAATGGTCAGGTGCATGGCATGGACATTTAATCCCTGCCATCCTCTGAGCACATGCTGTGAAGTGGCCCACTTGAGAGCTAATCTTTTGAAACAAAGATAGTGCCCACAGGCTTGAGTGGGTGCTCTGCAGAAGGTATGGTTAACATTCATGTTTGCCCTTCCCGTCAGCTGGCTGTGTTTATTTACTATGCTGTGTGGAAGCCTTATAAACAGTGGATCACCTTGGACACGGGCATCTTGGAGAGTCCATTTATCTACAGTCCTATGAAGAGGGAGGAAGCCTGGAGGTTTATCTCATACATGCTGGTGCATGCTGGGTAAGGAATAACAGTTAAGTCCCTGATGTCGGAGGTGACGATAAATGATATGTCATATCACTATTACTGACAAAGCATCTCATGTCCATGATCTTGTATGATCATCCCAGCACCCTTAGGAGGCAGGTGTTACTCTCGCCGTTTTATGTCTGAGGCTTAGGATAGGTAGTCTCGTGCTCCTTGTCACACAGCTAAGTTGTAGAGCTAGGACCTCCACCTATTTGTGCTAACTCCAGGTCCATTGTACTTTATGTTGCGTTATAATTAACTAATATTGGTATGCACATAGGAATATTAATAAGAAGAAACCAAATCATTACCATACCAAAGGTATGTTCCCCTGATTGTTCGATGCTGTTAAATGTTAGGATATGAAACAACACTCCCACGGGTTCTGCCCCCACCACACACGTAGGAAAATAACTCGTGGACATTTTGATGAGTGTATAATACTCTTATCCTCCTGGAATAATACAAGCTGTAGGAGCTTCAGTGTCTGCTTTTTAGTTTTGCTCGTAGTTTCTTAAATGCTAATAGCCATGTAGGACCCTGCTCAGAATCCACGATTCGCCACGTCCACTGCCGACAGTGAACAGCATGCTGTGGGCCCCACTCTCCGGGGGACCCCTGGGGTTTCGGATGAGGCCAGCTTTGTCTAAGAGTTGTCTCAACTTTGAAGGATGACTCTGGCCTGTGGGTAAACAGGCATCCATGGCAGGACACAGGGCTCAGAGCCTTGACAAGTCAGGAACAAAATCATCAACTGCCCATTTTTGTGGACATTTCCACACTTTGGTTTTCCATTTAACAAGTATGCTCTGAGCAAATGTGGCTTCTGCACTGCAGGGCTTGAAAATAACAAGGAGGGAACAGTTAACTAGTAACATATGGCAGTATAGTGTTATAGTATACAGTAGTTACTTAATTGCTTTGTGCCTCAGTTTCCACACCTATAAAATGGAGTAGCAATACCTACCTCATAAGGTTGCTGTGATTAAATCAAACAATGATTATAACATAATTTTTACAGTGTCTGACACGTACTAAGGCACTCGAAAAGAATTTGCAGAGCTATGTAGAATAAACCCTAATTTATGGGGTTGCATAAATTAGGAATGCTTTTATATGCAAGTAACAAAAAATATTTAACAGGAACTTAAAAAAAATAGAGGTCAATTTGTCCCCATATAAGGAGCCCAGGGGTAGGCTGGTTGGTTCATCACTTTAATGAAGCCAGGACTCTTGGTCCTGTACTGGTACCTCCTCTGCTTTTCCCTTAGCCTTTCTCTCATGGTTGCAAGTTCACTGCTGTAGCTCTGCATTCAAAGCCGAAAGGGGGAAGAGGTAATTCCAGGTACTGGTGACATCGTCCCTTTTGTCAAGACAGAAGCACTGCTTTTCTTTGCATCTCACTGACCAGAACTATGTGCCCTACCTAAGAGAGGTTGGGGAGGTCAACATCAGCTCTTCCAGCCTCACTAGAGGAGGAAAGGGAGAGACAGGATGTGAGTGTTGGGGAAGCTACAGCACTACAAACCGAAAGAGGGCAAGATCAGAGTGGGGATGGCTTCACAAATGACATGGATTCCAGCTGGACCCTGGAAGGGTAGATAAAATTCAGAATAAAAAAAATTATATTTCTGTTTTGAGAATATGACAGGATCTCATCTTTCTGCCACTTTTACTCATGATATTGAGCAGAAGAAAGAGAGTTTGGGTTGATTTGTTGGGGTTTCTGTGCTATTGGTCATCTTGTCTCCCAGCTGTTGCCAGAGGACAGGATGAGATGGCTTTCTTTGACATTGTTGCTCAGATTCACAAAGCACAGATATTTCCAAATCCCCTTTATGCCTGAGGTCTGCATAAGCCGAGTGTAGCTGTCCTTGCCAGACAATTCTGCACTGAATTCTGTTACCTCTCACATGTCTTTGAAGACGGCTCGGACAGTGAGTGTGGCTGGGTGTGCAGGGGCCACAGAGGTAAGCCCTCTGGGCTGCCGGGTGTGCCCAGAGAACCGCCCCGGCGGTCTGCTGTCTGCTGGTATTTGTTAAGTAAATTGTAATGTAAAACACAACTCCTAGACCTAATATAAAAGCTGGTGCACTTTGTTGAAGGTCCAACACCTATTTTGGTTTTTAACTTTTGATTTAACCTAGAATCTTAAAAAAAAACAACACCACCACAAAAACCCAACCCTAGCATTGTGCTGCATAGCAACTAAATTGAGGATTACTCTAATGTGGGCATTTACCAAATTATACTCAGAGATTCTCCAGAGATACTCATGGGGTTTGACAAGCAAAATAATGACTTTTATTTAAAAATATTTTTACCTATTTAAGAACTATAATAAAAACACCTATACTCAAATATGTTATATGCCAAACTGTAGTGCATGGGAGGTACCAACATTAGCTAGTGTTACGAGGTAAACTTATTCTTCCTTTCTCGTAAGCTTTTTAAAAAAAACTTTCAAATGTAAAACTGGGAATGAGGTTCCTCTTGCCACCTCTTTTATTAAAGAACATTCTGAGACAGCAGGACAAGTTGTTTAGAAACCTATTGAAATTTAAACTCAATTTAAGTGAATTAAGATTTTCTAAATACTATGCAACCCTGACAAAATCAGATGCCGAAGCTGACAGAAGTTGCCAATTGTCATCTAAATCTAATTTCAAGTTTATTTTCCTTAGGCCAGCCTCATTGCTCTGATGTTGTATCAGTAACTGTTATAAAACAGAACTTATGAAATAAATGTAGACTTCTAAAATGCTCTTTCACCAGCTACAAAAAATTAGAAAGTGGAATTTGAGTTAAGCGAGTCCGTACCTATAAACAACACCTCAACGCCTGCTGCTCTTCCAAGGAAATAACTGCCTGGATCGGCCCTAATACTTGACAAATGTGTTTGTCTCTGCAGAATTCAGCACATCTTGGGGAATCTTGCTATGCAGCTCGTGTTGGGCATTCCCTTGGAAATGGTCCACAAAGGCCTCCGAGTGGGGCTGGTGTACCTGGCAGGAGTGATTGCAGGTCAGTGTTCTGAGGAAAACACAAAACCAACACCTCTGGGCTCTTAGGAAGTTATAAACAAAACAAAGGTAATACACTTTGATCATGGGCTTCTAATTTAAGATGTTCTCCTAATATGTGCTAGGAAACCTGATAAGCATTGGAGATAAGTTAATTAGAGACACTGGAGATAAGATAGGCACACAGAAATAAGTCATTGTGGCTATCCGCAGGAACTGCACAGTCAGACAGCGTTTTACGTAATTGAAAACTGAGCTGTTTGGTGCCCAGGTGTGTACCCTGGGGAAAGGCCAAAAGCCAGACCATAAAGGCCCTTATGTGTCAGAGGAAAGATTTGGGGAAGTAACACGATTTCGGAAAGGTAACTTCGAAAGAGTGCAGAGAAGCGTTAAAGGGGCCGAACGGCCCAGTAGGCGTTGGCAGCTCCCAGCAGTGATCTCTGAAATCGCGTGTGCCTAAGGTGATTCATTTCGGTGTGGGTGGAGAACGCTAGAACTCCTATTCATCCGCTATTTGTTGGAAACACTTTTTAAAAAGTAAGCTTTTTATTTTGAGATAATTATAGATTTGCACTTTAGTTGTGAGAAGTAAATACATGAGACCTTAGAGGTCTCCTGTATCCTTTGTATCCAGCTACTCCCAACGGTAACAGCTGGCGAAACTGCACTACGGTGCCGCCATCAGGATGATCTCGCTGTGGGAGTCAGGTGGTCAGGTGGAAGACATTTCCAACCCCTCAAGCTGCACTCTCTTCCCTCCCAACCTGACGCCCTCCTTTACCCCCCGGCACCAGTGATCTGTTTTCTGGTTCTACAGGGGCTTGGCAAAAGTAGGTTCATAGTTGTAATACAAATAAATAATACAATAATTCATAACTAATAGTACATGAATAAACTGTTTTACATACTCACAACTATATACCTACTTTTGCTCATCCCTGTATAGTTTTCTCACTTCACGAATGTTATGTAAACGGAAGAATAAGGTAGACAGCATTTTGGAATTGGTCTTCACACGGCATAATTCTCTGGAGATTATGCAGGCTGTTGCTTGTATTAATAGATCATTCATTTTTATTGCTGAGTAGGAGTCCATGGGATGGATGTACCATCCACCCTTCAGTCACTGGAGGATATCTGGGTTGTTTCCAGTTTTTGGCTATTGCAGATAAAACTGCTACAGACACTCGTGTTCAGGCTTTTGTGAGCATCAGTAGAGAGTTTCATGAGCATGAGTTTTCATCTCTCTGGGGTCAATGTCCAAGAGCGCAGATGCTGGGTTGCATGGCAGTTGCATATTTAGTTTCCCAGGAAGCAGCCAAATGTTTTCCAGAACGGCTATTTCATTTTACACCCCTCCCAGCATGTATAAGGGAGTCAGCTGTCCACGTCCTTACCAGCGTTGGGTGTTGTCACTACTTTTTATTTCAGTTGTGCTGCTCTGAGGTTGGTAGCGATACCTCATCACGGTCTGAACGAGCACGTCCCTGGTGGCTGCTGGTGTTGAACGTCTTTTCATGCACTTGTTTGCCATCCATATCTCGTCATTAGAGAAACTGTTCATGTCTTTGCCCATTTCCTAATTAGACGTATTTTTCCTGTTGAATGTTTAGACTTCTTTTTATATTCTGATCCTAGTCCTTTGCCAAATATGTAGTTTACAGATGTTTTCTCTGTTTGCAGGTTGTCTTTTCATTGTCTGGACAAGGTCTTTCACAAAGCAGAAGTTTTAATTTTGATGAAGTCCAGTTTACCATGTTTTTGTTCAATGAATTGTGCTGTGTCTAAGAACTCTTCACTGAGTCCTAGGTCTTAAATATTTTCTCCTATGTTATCTTCTAAAGTTACAGTTGTATGTTTTACCTTTAAATATGTGATCCTTTTGAGCTGGGTAATTTTTATAGAAGGTGTGAGGTTGGGATTGAGGTTCTCTTTGTTTGCTTATTCACTATGGATGTCTGATTACTCCAGGACAATCTGTGGGAAAAACCGTTCTTCTTTCATTGAATTGCGCTGGCACCTGGGTCACTAATCAGTTGGCTGTCGTTGTGAGACCATTTCTGGGTTCTCCTTTTTGTTCACAGACGATGTGTCTGTCCCTCCACACAGTCGCTACCACTGCCGCCACACAAGTCTTAAAATCAGAGTGATTCCTCTCATTTTTTGCCCATTTAAAAAATAAAAAAAGTTTGTTTATGCATTTTACTTTCAAAAAAAGATGGTTATATAATGTTCTGGCTTTTTTTTTCTGTGACAACAAAAGGACTTTTAGTAGTAAGCTATTTAACAGATGTTGAAAAACAAACATGAAGTGTATCTCTTCAAGGACATAATATCATCCCCCCCACCAAAGGAATAAGAATGTAACTATTTTTTCAAAAATACTCCTGCTATGAAAAGGGTATTTGGAAAACTGGTTATTGGAAATCTTTTCATGTTTATGCGATTTTGCTTCTGAAAGTGATGCAACAACTCTTAAAAGTTCACACTTAAAAGGCTGGGAAACAATTCCCTAATGTTTTAAAATTTTTCAGTGAAGAGTTTTAGTGCATTTTAAATTTATTTATGGAAACACTTTCTGATTAGTTTGTAAGAACTAATGACTGATATTAGGAAAGGTGAGAATTAATAGCCAGAATTATTGTAATACAACAATATTTTTGCATAACTGGAGTAAGCTCAGCCAATGATGCAATTCTTCTATTTTAAATTAAACATCATCTTTAAAATTTTGTATTTTGGCAATGACAGTGATTAAAAGAAAACTTCTATAGAAATAATAACCAAATCTAGCCAAATTTAGGCTGGTGTAGCTCAGGGGATTGAGCGCTGGCCTGTGAACCAAAGGGTCACCAGTTGGATTCCCAGTCAGGGCACATCCCTGGGTTGCAGGCCAGGCCCCCAGTACGGTTTGCATGAGAAGCAACCACACATTGATGTTTCTCTTTCTCCTTCCCTCCCCCTCTCTAAAAATAAAATAAATAAAATCTTTTTTAAGAAAAGAAAAATAACCAAATTTAAAAGTATACAGCAGTGCCCCCATATCCACAGGGGATACATTCCAAGACCCCCCAATGGATGCCTGAAACAATGGATAGTACCAAAAACAGTGTGTGTGTGTGTGTACACACATGTATATATACATACATGTATATGTATACACACGCACACTTATATATACTGTTTTCTCTTGTACATACATACCTATGATAGCTTAATTTATCAATTGTGCACAGTAAGATATTAACAATAACTAATAATGAACTAGAACAATTATAATCACGTACTGTAATAAAAGTTACGAGACTGTGGTCCCTTGACATGTCATATTGCAGTACACGGAGGTGCTGGACGAAGGGAGATGAGTCATGTGCTGGGCTGGACAGAACAGGTCGGCATGAGATTTTATCACGTTACACAGAATGGCACTCAACTTAAAACTTAAGAACTGTTTGTTTCTGGAATTTTCCATGTAATATTTTAGAACTGCAGTTGGCCATGGGTAACTGAAACTGTGGAAAGTGAAACCACAGATAAGGTGGGTGGGTGGGCTATATTATCTATATTTCTATGTCATGAAATTTAATCAGGACTTGAAACAATAGTGAAACTTATTTAATAATGCTGTTCATTGAAAGGTTGTTTCTTCTTTTAATTAAAGACATTTTTTAGAGAGCTGTTTTAGGAAAATTGAGAGGAAGGTACAGAGGTTTCCCAAACACCTCTGTCTCCTATGCACAGGCATAGCAACACGGAACTGCATTGCCTTGCAGTTCTGGAGCAGAAGTCTGAAATCCAGGCATCCACATGGCCACGCTCCTTCCTCTGCTGTCTGTGGGGGAGAATCCTTCCTTCCCTCTCCCAGCCTCTGGTGCTAGCCATCGGTGCTCAGCAATCCTTGCCTTGTAGCTGCTGCACTTCAGTCTCTGCCTCCATTGTCACGTGGCATTCTTCCTTCATGTGTCCCTGTCACTTCTTATAAGGATCCAGTCATACTGGTTTAGGGTCCCACCATACTCCAATACGACCTCCCTGTAACTAATCACATCTGTAAGAATCCTATTTATAAAGTCGCATTCTGAGGTGCTGGGGGTTAGGACTTTCACATATCACAATCTAATCTGTGCCAATGCTTGACATTTTTTTGCCAATCAAAATTTTGCCAGCCTCCTTGAACAGTGGGATGGAGAGCAGCAGGCAGTCATGAGATAGACTTGGCAAGGTTTGGTGACAGCTCCCCGTCCTCCTTCCTTCCTACTTTTGTGGATCCTATTCTTCCACCCTCTACTTATATTCCCTCACACACCTTTGTCCTGACCTTCTGTGATGATCAGGCCCTGCCTGGCTCCAGCACGCACACTCCCCTCACCCACAGCTTAATTTCAACCTGTGGAATCAGCTCTGCCCCAATTCCAGAGAAAGAGAAAACAGGAATAACCTGTTCAGATCCTTGCCTACTTTTTTGCAATAGCTTTTTGGTAGCTATCTTTTCCCTGTTATGGGCTATCTACCCTTCACCCTTGCTGCCTGGGTCACCTTCCTCAAATACAGCTTAGGTCATATTATAACATTCCTGGGCCATTTTCAGTAGCCAAAAGAAAGTTGAAATGTCCAAGATTGCTTTCATTACCCTTCACTGACTGGGTCCATTGCCTTTATTTCCTTTCTTCCATTCCTCCCCCTCACTCCCCCTCTCCCTATCAACCACCACCCCCTGGCTCCTCCCTCCTCCCTGTTCCCCCTGCTTCGTCGTCTTCTTTTTTGAAGAATAAACTTCTTTACTAATATTCAAAAATAAATTATATGTGAAAAGGTTAGAGAAAGACTTGATTTTTTAAAAAATCTTTTTATCGAGGTATGGTTGACAAACAAAAATCAGTACAGGACTTCTGGAGGAGATGGAGGCATATAGACATTCATCACTTCCTGGTACAACCATAGAAAGAATTACAACCAGTCTCAAAACAAGTAACACCCAGAACTGTCAGGAAATTGAGCTGT